TTGTTTATTATTTTATATTAGTTATTAGTATTATTTCTTCATTTGTATTTTTGTTTATTAATTGGTTATTATAGAATATAACACTAATTAGGGAGATGAATATCTCCGATGAATATCTAGTTAGTGAAACATTGGGTGACATGAGATGAATATTCCTGATGATTATCTGAGATAATTATCTCCAGATATTCACCTCTGGTAATCATCTCCTGTTACGAATGAATAATTTAGAAGGAATTAATTACGTGAAGTAATTGTGGCACAGCTGCCAGAAATTGTTATAAATATAGGACCTTTCTCGCCTTGAAGAAGGGGGTTCAGAATAGTTCAAGTCAGAAATAACAATAATTAGTTTAGTTCTCCTTTTATTTTTTTTTTATTTCATATCTTATTTTCTTTTATTTTTGTTTGAGACGAAAGTAATTAAATTGTGCATTTAATTTGAGTCTCACATTATTTTATTAATAAACCGTATATTTTTATCTTATCCGTTTGTTATTATTTGATATTATACTATTCCTTGCACTGAGCTAAGTCACAAACTAATTTGGTATAATAAACCTCCACATTGCTAACAAAGAACTCACGTATCGAAATTATTAAATAAATTGTGAATCCCTTAAAATTATAAACCTATAAACTTGAGTAGAAATTCCTAAAGTCTTAGTAAATAAACAATACCTTCTAATTACATCGACAGATTGTGCATAACAATATATAATTACATTGATCGACAATATTCTCTAGTTTTTTATGGAACATACACATTCCGTATTCCAGATCTATAATGCAATTTTTGAGATATTTAAACTCATTTTTCTCTTTTCGTTCTGCATGATTATTAAAATTTTCTATCATTTTGATCGGTACTGTGAAATAACTCTGCTAATATATATATACAAAAAATATCCAGTTAAAAAAATCTGATATTAATGCAATTGAAACGAAATCAGTATTTTTTAATTAAGCTTATTCCCATTTTGATAATATCGATCTTTGGCTTGCTTCATAAATGATCCACCTGGTCGATAAAGCCATTTAATTACTGCATGCTAGATCACTTTAGCAGAATTAATTTGTTTTCTCCGTAAACAATATGCCTGCTGGATAATTAATGATGCACGATTTTCTTTATGCAATGCTAGTTGAACTTTAAAATTCCTATATTCAGAGTCATTATCTATTTGTTTATGGCTAGTTAAATTATTTTTGATACGAAATACAAAATTTTCCCAGTAATCTCTACTATTTATTTCATATCCTACTTTTAATAAACGCTTGCGTATATATTTTGGTGAATAATATTTTGCAAACCGTAACCATGCTTCTGACGTTTTAATAATGTTAACAATATAATTTTTACCATATTCACTCAACTTATCTCGTACTTTGTTATAACTCATATTATATAATTGATATCTCAAATGTGTGGATTTTATTACTAAAGTTTTTTATTTAATAGATCAGGTCCAAAGGACACCTCTATGAGGCATGGAGCTAACCAAAAAAATATATATGGCAGATGGGTAGGTCGACTCGCTTTCCTTACATTTGATAAATAAAAAATCTCGGAATGAAATTAATAGAATTAGCACGTGGTTTAGTTATGTATTTGTCTCTGGATCTTCATATAATTTTAGTCATCAGCTTGCACTAATTTACTCAATTCTGATCTAAAAATATTCTTTGCAATTCGTTCCATTTCACCCTGTTTTCGCATCTTCTTTACTTCGATGGGATCAGGCTTGACGATATCAGGTTTCTTGGATATATCTATTTGAGACGTTGGTTTGGGTGATGTATCCACCTTCTCAAATTTACTATTATTGATGTACCAGTTAGGTAAATTCGCATCTTCGATTGAATTTGCATATGAGTATGGGTTCTCAGACTTCCATATTTTATTACACTTTTGTATACCAATTTTATACCACTCCAAAACTTTTTTAGATCCACCTTTTAATTCCTTGGCATACATTATGCAATCGATATCTTCTTTAGCTAAACGGGATGGTGGTGCTCTTGATTTGATAGACTTCTCCAACTGTTGTGTATCGGGATCTTTGCTGGTTCTTTTTAGTGTCATCTTAAAATGAAATTATATATGGCGAGAAAAAAAAAAATGCGTAATTTATTCTTAATTATATGTACTCAACACGTCTTAGCTTTACCTGAAATTTTGGAAAATATCTTTAGCTATATCCCTCATGAAGAACATTTATTTCAACTTTTTATGGTTAATTATACCTGGTGTTTAGAAGGAGTTCGATCTCTCCTGAAGTGATATAGGAATATGTTTTATTGATATAATAATAATTTTAATCTTATTCTATTAATAAATCAATTTGCAAGTCTTGAGTATCGCAATATATATAAACCTGTTCACAAAAAAATATATTGGCCTACTGAAGATAAATATAATTATACACATGACTTGGATAA